TGTGGCTGGCGCCTTAGCCACTTGAGCCACAGACACCGAGCCAGAAGCATTGCATTTTTAAAATTTATATAATATTAGTAGTTTATGGGGCACATGTGATATTTTGATTCAAACATGCAATGTGTAATGTAATGAGATCTCTTGTTGTATTTTAACAATCTATTACCAGACAAATAATTGATGTAACTCTAGAAAAGGAAAAAGAATTATATTTATGCCATTTCAGGCTATTTTTAGTAACTATACAATGAAATGTTTATTAAAAAGGCATAATTAGGGCTCGGCACCTGTGGCTAAAGTGCCAGCCACATATACCTGAGCTGGCAGGTTCTAATCTAGCCTGGCACACCAATCAACAATGATGGCTGCAACCAAAAAAAATAGCCAGGCACCTGTAGTCCCAGCTACTTGGGAGGCAGAGGCAGGAGAATCACTTGAGCCCAGAGGTTGCTGTGAGCTGTGATGCCACGACACTCTACACAGGGGGATAGCTTGAGGCTCTGTCTCAACAACAACAACAAAAAGGCATAATTAGACATCTCCTAATGTAAATAGTTGTCTAATCCACCATTCACGCATATTGTGTTCTTTGCATTTAACACTCCTTTCTGGCTAAAATATAGTAGAAGACTGTTGTGAAAAAAATACGTAGCTCACGGTTAAGCAAGGCAAGCAGTTAATTTCTTAGAGGTTAATAAACTTTCAGTGCTTCTTTTTTCATGCTTAGGTTTTCTTTTAAATTCTCCTTTGTAATAACATATATAGAGAGCGTTGATACACTCTTATAGCTGTTCATTATCATGTTTATATTTCAACGTTCTTTTATAGTTTATATATACTGCGTTTCCAGAACTTTTCCTGACATGATATGTGATTAGATTTTAAAGTATTAGTATTCTATTTGTGGTGTTTGGTTTTATAATTACATTTAATTTTAATTATATGTAATTTTAAGTACATTTAATTATGTAATTTTATTATATATTACAGTATTAATTTATGACCCTTATTACATTGAGAATACTCTTATTTTTAATTTTGAGTCCTCGTCTCTTTTCAATCTAGGTCATATTCTGCAATCTCCATCAGCCAATGTGCTTCCAACCCTTCCTTTCCATGTCCTTCGTAGCTTGTTTAGCAGTACACCTTTGACAACGGACGACGGTGTGCTTCTAAGGCGGATGGCCTTGGAGATTGGAGCCCTACACCTCATTCTTGTCTGTCTCTCTGCTCTGAGCCACCATGCCCCACGAGTTCCAAATGGTAGCCTCAATCAAACAGAGGTAGGTTCCATTATAATTCTTTTGGTTATGAAAACTAAATTTAATACATAGAGTACATAATAAAGTTCTTTTCTAAAGTAATTAGTATTTAAGAGACTAGGATTTTCTATTTTTATACCTGAAAGCATATTTGAAAGGGTACTGTAAATTAATTGCTTTCTCTATTTAGGCATAAAACTATAGATTAACTCATCTACTTGAAAAACGGAAAAGATTTAGGAGCATTATAAACTTCCCCGTTTACAAAGATAGGCTGAATTTATGCTGCATCCTTCTCCTTTCCTTCATCGCACTGAGGGAGAATAATACTGTGGAATGGGAGGTCCTAACCAGGACAGTAAAACAGAAAAAATTCCATATGATTGATCATGATTAAAATAAAAACACTTTTCATTTTAATAAGGTATTTTGGGCCAGGTGCAGTGGCTCATGCCTGTAATCCCAGCACTTTTGGAGGTCGAGCTGGGCAGATCGCCTGAGCTCGTGAGTTCAAGACTAGCCTGAGCTAGACCGAGACTCCATCTCTAAAAATAGGTGGGTGTTGTGGCAGGTGCTTGTAGTCCCAGCTACCTGGGAGGCTGAGGCAAGAGAATTGTTGAGCCCAAGAGTCTGAGGTTGCTGTGAGCTATGCCGACAGGGTACTCTACCGGGGGCAACAAAGTGAGACTCTGTTTTAAAAAAAAAAAAAAATTTTTTTTTTAACCTAGTATGTCCAAAAAATTTAAATCCTTAATGATTTCAAATTATTGAGATGTTTTACATATTCTTTTCATACTGAGTCTTTGTAAACCAGTGTATATCTCATAGTCTGTCTCAATTCAGACTAGCCATACTTCAAATGCTTAACTGCCACATGGAGCTAGGAGTTATTTTATAGACAGTACAGCTCTAAAATTCTGTGCAAACTGAGTGTACTTGGTGTTTCTCCATTAAACAGATGAGACAGACCCATCAGTTTGTGGCATTTCTGTTTCTTTCCCCTAAGCCTCTATATCCACCAATCAAGGCCTTGAAAACAATTGTGAAGACATATGACAAGGTCCAAAGAGAGAGCATTCCCTTTAGATGTCAGACCTAGACAACCCTAAACGGATCCCTAACTTGGTGTGAATAAGCTTTAGCCGCAGTCAGATCCCTAACTTGGTGTGAATAAGCTTTAGCCGCAGTCAGATCCCTAACTTAGCGTGAATAAGCTTTAGCCGCAGTCAGATCCACAGGGCCTCACTGGCACATTCAAGCCAGGGTGTCTCCAGATTGTTCTCTAGCCAGCCAACAACTGCTACAAAGACTTGATGATTGACCAGAGTGACAGCATCCTCACAGGGCAGCCTGGCGAGAGGGCACCTAGCCCTGCTACTCTGGTTCTAGTTGGGGCTGGGTACCACTTACTATTTGGGACTAAAAGTGGCCGAACATACGTGGTGCAATACCTTCTTGTGTTGTTGGATCAAAGAATCGCGTGAGAGAAAAATATTGAGGAAATCTTATTAACTAAACATTCCACAAACTAGAAAAAGGCCATCTAAAATACCTGTGTAAGTAAAAAACAGAGATAATACCTGGGAGGAGAATTTGAAATCTCAGAGTTCAATCCCCTCATTGAACTGAGAACCAGAGGCCCAGAGAAGGCTGATTTGCCCACTATCTTTCAGCCAACCCTTAGAGATCGTGATGAGTCCTGCATCCTATCTACTGCCTCCAGTGTCTCCACTAATTTGCGAATATTTAAATGGGGGACATTGTGCCATCATCAAGGTACTCCTGAAGTACTTTCAAAGAATGACATCCCTGAGAAGATTGGTCATGATTTAAGGGGTCAGCTGCCCTGAATAGGCAACTGCCTTGCTGGGGCATAGTGCCCCGATCCTGCCACCTAGAATCCAGGGCAGGGGATACTACTGGAATGGTTCTTTTGCCAACTCCCATCTTCCACAGCCAGGCCTGGGTCAGGCTGTCCTGGCCCCACTGTGACCTACTTCCTAGCTACAGACCGTGCCAGGGTGAAGCCACACACACGGCATCGACTCAGGGATTGTTAGAAAACTGGTGGCGAGTTGTGTCTCAAAGGCTGTAGTTCAGAACCTCAAGTGCCAAGATAACTTCCGACCTTCTTTCTGACTGGGTGTAGGCTTCCCAGAATGGTGTGGCCCAGCTAGTCCCGTCCTGTCTCCATGCGTGGCGCCCACTCTTCCACTGTCAACTGGATGGGCTCTGGCATTGAATGGCTCCAGTTCTCTGTGGGCTGCTGCTGACCCCTATCTGACATCTGGAATTTGCTGTGGTTCCCTGGATGGGAGGACTTTCTAGCACACTGGCAGTTCCACAAGCCCTCTACCCCTTCCTCACTCCATAACTGCCCCACTGCTTTTATGGCAAATAGAAGGTATTAGGAAAATGTTTAAGCACCTTGAAGCTTTGCTGGGCCCAGGCTGCCACACCAGAGAGGCCCCACTTCATTCTAGAGCAGCGGTTCTCAACCTGTAGGTTATGACCCACAGGAATTGTATTAAGAGGCTGCAGTATTAGGAAGGTTGAGAACCACTGTTCCAGAGCTATGTGTAGACCAGAAAAATTTTTAAAAAAATGAATGGCATTATATTCAAGATAACAATATATGTGGTCAGTATATAAAAATCAATTATTTCTAATTGATGAAATGAGCTTTATAAAGATATCTTTTAGAATAGCATCAAAACAGAAAATATCTATGAATAAATGTGAAAAAAAATCTATAAGATCTCTTCATAAATGTATGAAATTTTTTAAAAAGACAATTCTTATTTTACTGTCTGTGCTGGTGTTTATCTTCCATGGGTTAATAAATACAGTATTATATCCTCCTAGATCAGTTCTTGAATTTGATGCAATTTCAGGTTCATTTTGGAAGTAGTTGACAAGCCTGTTGCAAGATTTATTTAGATGTGCCAAAGGGTCAGGAATAGCTGAGTCAGATTCAAAGAACAACAACGTATCTAGCATACTGATAACACTGTATCAAAGTCAATTGTTAAACTATAGTGCACATACCAGATGGACAGTAGTGTAACAAACAATAGAGAATCAAACCCACATGTCTATGATTCCCTGGTACATGATGTGACTGTGCAACATGATGAATTAAGTGTGGTCTTAGTGATAAATAGTGATGGGTCAATTTGATATTCAGGTGGGAAAATGTATCTTTAATCTCTTCAGTGCTCTAAATGCAC